TTTTTGGCTTAACAGACTGCGTGCGTCTTGCCAGTCTTTCCTTGCAGAGAATGAGTTTCACCAGTGTAAATACTACTCCGTCGGTTCCTTCCACTGTTGGTGACGTTCTCTTGGATATGTCTATTAAATGTCAATTTCAACCTGTAGCAAGTAAAACGAGAGCAGTGAGCGGGCGATGAACACCTACCTCTGACGCTCTGCAATCGCCTTTTCATCCATATTGTTCAGGGTCTGTTTAGCCAGTTTAATGTCGGTGAGCCTGTACCAATTAGCGCCTTTTCATCGACATTGAGGGTCTTATAAGGTATAACAGTATAGTAGCACCAAGAATTGGACGTACAGTTGATCACAGCGAGCGCGGCTGAAGTCTTCGCGAACAACAATTCTCATCATTTTCAAACTCTCACTGTGGGGAGCCATGGTGTAGGCGGGCACAATCCAGCCACGCTCACGCAGCTGTCTGGCAATGGCGAATTCATCATAGAGGTGGTTGTCTTCAGGGTTCAACCGGAAAGCAACGAGTGGAAGGCCTCTGCCACCTTGTTGAGACATGATGAGGAAACCCAAATCCTCAAGGCATCGCGAGAGATAGTCGGCGGTACGGGTAAGGTTGCTGCTGTTAATGAGTACTAGCATTTGCACAACGCAACAATAATTACTCACAGCATGATGGCATGGTAGCCCCGCTTCCCAAGCCGGATCATTTGGTAGTACTGACCGATAACCTGAGAAGCTCCCTTGGAAAAGTTCAGAGTAAAAGAGGCCTGGTCTGCGCCGAGATAGTTGATGTTGAAGACTAGCTCCTGTGGAAGGAATTCTGGCGAACGCCAGACAACCCAGCCAACACCAGGATATACCTATTCAACAGTATTAATATCAAATTCCGATATTCAAGATTTGAGAGGCTAACCAGGCCGTATTTATGACCGGACACGTTGATACTGACGACCTTCTCCAAACGGAAATCCCACTGCAGCTTCGGGTCAACAAAAGGCGCGACGAAGCCACCACTGGCAGCGTCGACATGGATTGGAACGTCAAGATTTTTCTCTATCAGCAGATCATTGATTGCCTTGACGTCCTCGTACTCTCCAGTATAGGTCGTCCCAAGAATGGCACAAATACCGATTGTGTTCTCGTCGACCAAGTCGACCGCCTGTTGGGGATCGATCACATAGCGCTCAGGAGTACAGTAAACATACTTTTCCTCGACTTCGAAGTATCGCGCAGCCTTCTCCCAACAGACTTGGACTGCAGAATTCATGACAATGTTGGGCCGATCGTAAGGTTTGCCCTCCGCCTTGCGTTTATTCTGCCACTTTTTCTTCATAGCAAGGGTTGCGAGCATGATTGCCTCAGAGCTGCCAACAGTGCTTGTTCCCATAGATCCTCCGCCTTCTTTATCGGCTGATGGAGCATGGAACATACGAGCAATCATGGAGACACAACGGTTCTGGATCTCGGCACTTTGTGGATATTCCTCGTAATCGATAAAGTTCTTGGAAAATGCATCGGCCATGAGCTTCTCGGCTTCATCCTCCTGAAGTTACGTCAATATATCTGATTTCAAGTATGAGACAGAGGTTACTCCCACCCACCATGTAAGTGGTGACAAAGCTCGCCAGGCTGAAACGATGGTTAGTTTAACGCGGAGGAATGTGAATTGGGGTTTGAAGCCAGAGCGAGGAATACTTAAGAAGGGGATTTCCATCAAGTGAAAGCTCGTCCCTGAACGTATTAATGATATTAGTAATGTCATGCTGATGTCGAAACCTCAGGTCATCGACGGGAGCGAAGAGATGGAGGCTGGACGCTACTAACTTGATCATCCTATAAGCTACGTCCTTCGGCATTTCGGCGTCAGGCATCTCAGCTTTGGGCAGCGCCTGAGCTGCAAAGCGAGATCCGTAGACAGGAGTGGCAGCGCCATCCTCACCAACATCTGAGAGATCAATGTTGTATTGCGAGCTGGTACCCGCCGAAACTGGGGTGAGATGAACCATTGCGTGTGGTAGGCGGTGCGGAGGGAGGTATTCTTGACAGGAAAGGAAGGTTAGAGGTCAAGGACAAATTTTTGGAGGCCGCGTATCTCACAGATGTTGATCAGCTTCGAGAGCTCTATGTAAGGTTTCGTAATTCTGTATGGGCTTGCGAAAATAGTGCAAATAAAGCTGAGCAGTAGGACACAAGACAGCTTGTGGTTCTGGGGGAAGGACTCTACTTGTATGTGGGTTGTACGAGGTCGGATCAAATTGCCGGAGACACGCCTCCTGGCCTGCATGACAACAAGCGCCGCCGGCGAAAGGAGACGTGTCGGCCATTATCACGTTGGTCCATAGCTCTTTGGCACTGGACGGGGGTGCACAGCTCTATTGCGGCCGATTGTCTTCATGTCGTCAATGCTCACCACTAATTCTTGGTCCAGGCGGGACCAAAAGCTTGTTTTCTGCGCCTGGTGGGGGTGAAGCCAACGCAATCACCAGTCCCTTACGTACTAACAATACTGAAGTACCTCTATACCTTCGTACTGAAAAGGACATCCAGGAGTCGAACTTTCGTGCAGGTACCAAAACACCTCCCCTCCCCCGTGCTGTGCTGTACGATGGGGGAGCATTTTCTTAGAAGTAGTGTCACTCGTAGTACTCCGTAGTAGCGGGACTCATACTCCTCGCGGTAGTTACTAGGAAAGGCGTCGCGCCTTACCAGAACGGTATCTCTCCCCGCCAAGGGACCTCGGAGCCTCCGAGCGAGGAAGCTCGCCGTCCCTTCGCTCGAGGCGCTCACCGCTCTCGTCACAGATTGCTCGATAACCACTCGTTATCACTGGCCTTGCCGGCGGGGAAGGTATTCCATCACGTCCGAGGCGTCCCGTAAGTTTTAAAGTTTGGTTCCAAGCAATGTATTTGAGTCCGCTTTTCCACAAAGAGACTTGGAGAAGTTTAGGAGCGCCAGGAGCAAGAAAGTGATATTACAGCGTTAAAATATCTGCCATTATTGATGACTCGATCGATGAATTGAATTCCTCATGCCTTTCTCATCATACTTCTCCATTCAGAAATGTGATGGCTTTCACCTTGTCCCCGTGGGCAAAATCGGCCGCTGCCGTGCCAAGAATTAGCCATTGGTATGATTAGCGAAGATAGCACGAAAGGACGAGTATAAAAAATCATCTAGGTACCTGAAAGCCTTGGGTGCGAGAACAATCGCTGGTGTACTCATACCAACGGAAGTTATTTATCCCATGTATAGTATGATATCGATTATCTTCAAGTCTCTATGGCATGGCCTTTCTACAAGATCTTCCCATGCAAACTGATACTCATACTATTGCGAACATTCTTGTAAACTCCGATAACGTGGCAGTCCATTTTGTTGTAACGTACTTTCGGATGGACCGGCCGTGTAAGAATTTCGGAGTTAAGGGTTAGTGCTGGGCTTGCGATATGATCCATATGTTGCTTCCACTACATGTATCTCTGTCGATGAAGTCGGGTTCCTTCTCGCCTCTCACGGAAGCACCCTTCACACCCCCTCGCCCGTTTATGTGGGTGCGTGGCAGGTGTGGCTTGGTGTACCTTGGGTAACCCTAACGATATTGGCTGGACATTAGGGATATGATTCCTGTGGAGCATTTCTAACTGGGGTATTCATTCGGGCATGCGATACTTCAACGTTTCCATTGCACTCATGGTACTAGGAAAATTTGGTAGGATGAAAGTTTGAGTACAATCTATCCATTCAAGAACGGCTAAAAAAAACATGACACTCTCTCGGATGAGTATCTTTCCATATTTAATACCTGCATATAAAGTTATAAGCCAAAACATCGATTAATTATGGAGATGAAATGTTGTGGAATCTTATATCTTGTATGGAGTTCGTACCGATCGGTCCGCTTGAACGATCGGGTCAATTGGGAAATACGCTACATTAGTTAGTTGACAAGATGACATAATCCCCAGGGGCAAATCAGCATCCTCATAAAACCGATCTGCCATGACGTAGATGTAAGCATGGCAATGTAATATCCAGTATGGCACGCTACGTCGGCTTTGCCGTATATCCGGAAAATCCAAATATTTTTGGTGATATACCTCTGAGCTCGACAAGCGCTTGGTCTCCGAATTTTTTCTCGAAACAAGTGCAATTGGCCCCGAATTGTATGGAATTGATGCAGAGAAACCCCCGAAATCTGTGCCTTGGAAAATTGTGTCATTGGTCAATTAAGGATGGCTCGATGCCAGGCTTGGGGCTCCGTTCGCTCTTCTTGTCCAAGGCACGTGCATTCAACCCGTATTTTCGCCGAAAGTAGATGTATGTATCGGCAAAGACAGAGTATTGACATTGTATAAACGTGCTAGAGGTACTTTTAAATACTTAGTGTAAAGTAGCATACGACCCATTTTATCACCTCCCCATGAAGTTGACAGAAGTACTCAGCGAGGGACTCTACCGAATCGCGATTTTAGGAGGCTCTAATTACTAGACTGAGTATAGTGGGAGTGGCGCCTTAAGTCCTAGTTTTCCCGATTGCAAATTTGAAATATCTCTCTGACTTCAAGAGAGAAAGGCCCAACTCCGAACCCAACCCCATCCTTTTCCTCCTTCCCAACCCCAGTATAACGTGCCGTTGTTCTAAGGCATCTCCAATCTCCTCTCTCTCTTCTTTTCGTGTGTTTTGTTCATAGCGATTTTCCCTCCTCAATTGCATCTTTCGCAATGTCTGCCCAGGCACCTCCTGCTTCTACTGGCTCCGTCAAGCTGGACGCCGCTGTTCAGAAAGCCACTGCTCAGACGCCTGAAAAGCTGAGCGGTCTTGCTCTTTACTCTCGCTTTGCCTTCGCTGGTGCCGTCTGCTGTTCAATCACTCACGGTGCCTTGACTCCTGTCGATGTGTAAGGTTCCTTAATGTTCGCTTTGATGGGAGCGACCGACCGGCAACATGCAAAGTATGCATTTTGTCGCGAGTTTTCGGTCGTTTCAAGTATGAAATCACACCACTGACTTGCTTTTACAGCGTCAAGACCCGTATTCAACTTGACCCGGTCACTTACAACCGCGGTTTGATTGGCAGCTTCCGCCAGGTCGTCGCCAACGAGGGTGCTGGTGCTCTTCTGACTGGTTTTGGCCCTACTGCTGCCGGTTACTTCTTGCAGGGCGCCTTCAAGTTTGGTGGCTATGAGTTCTTCAAGCAACAGGCCATCAACACTGTAGGCTATGAGAATGCTTCGAACAACCGCACTGCTGTCTACCTTGCTTCGGCTGCCGCCGCTGAATTCTTCGCTGACATCGCTCTGTGCCCCTTGGAGGCCACCCGTATCCGTCTTGTGTCTGAGCCCACTTTCGCCTCAGGTCTTATGAGTGGATTCAGCAAGATCGCTAAGACTGAGGGTTTCGGCGCCTTCTACTCTGGTTTTGGCCCCATCTTGTTCAAGCAGTAAGTCTCGCTAGTGGAGTACTTTTAGCTTCCATAAGTTAACGTTGTCTACAGGGTCCCGTACACCATGGCCAAGTTCGTCGTCTTCGAGAAGGTCGTTGAGGCTGTCTACAAGAAGATTGACAAGTCCACTCTTTCCAATGGTTCCCAGACCGTGGTTAACCTTGGCTCCGGTCTTGTTGCTGGTTTCGCTGCTGCCATTATCTCTCAGCCCGCTGATACCATGTTGAGCAAGATCAACAAGACCAAGGGTCTTCCTGGTGAGGGCACTACCTCGCGTTTGATCAAGATCGCCAAGGAGCTTGGCCTCCGTGGAAGCTATGCTGGTATTGGTGCTCGTCTCTTTATGGTTGGTACTCTGACTGCTGGTCAATTCGCCATCTACGGTGATATCAAGAAGGCCTTGGGTGCCACCGGCGGTGTTGAGATCGCCAAATAAAGGAATAACTTTGTAGCTTAATGCCCGTGCCGAGAAAAAGGCAGCATGCATCATGTGGGCTTTCCTTTCGGAGTATAAGCCGCTGGTCTCTGGTATCGAGATGGGAGATGTTGGTTCCTTATTACGATATATTCCCCCAGAGCGCGATTTTCTAGATCTAGACATTTTTAGACCTGATTTATCTTCCAAGATTTGCTATTGTTTAGCAGACTTTCTTTGTACTTTTAGAATTGCGTTTGATAAAGACTTAGACGATATGATAGAAGACAGGTCCATAGAAGAGCTATGTCATAAGAGACTTCTTTTAACCATATCAGATTTTTCCTTGATATCTGAGAATTTTTTGCGATTGATTTCGACGCAGGCATTGGGGAAATGTATGCATGTGACAAAGAAAATCAAGACAAGCTCTTCGATGTGTTTTTGGTAGCTAATGCTCATTTACTCCGAAAAACTCTCCTCACGCACGATGACAGCGAATACCAAAGTGTGCTCGTCGACCCAACCGAGCTGGTCTCTGAAAATAATGAAGCAGCCTCTTCAACTCCACTGAAAACGGGTATAGGGGCCGGATATCTGCCGAGAGTTAGCTGGTTTGAAAACCCGAAGTGATATTAAATGGACCGAGCAAATTGCAGATCGCACTTATTTTGTACTTTAGCAACAAAAGGAATCAGGTAACTCACTCATTATAAATGTTGGCATCACTATTCAAGGTTGCGTTGTTAGTCGTTCGGAGCCCTTCAAACCTACAAGGGGATTGGACGGAGACTCACAAAGATCCAAACTGCTCTCGACCCTTTGCGGCCGAGTTCACCCAGATAGAGACAGAGGCTCCGTTGCAAGCAAACATACCATAACCCTTATTATCGATGATGACTTTGAAAGGTGTCCAACCAAGGATATCCGTCCAAAGCTCGCCTTTGTGGGACTTGCCAACGTACATGCGCTTTTTTGCAGAACCAGCGGTACTCATCACACAAGCCAGCCCATCCGGTCTATCCCAGGATCCTCTCCTTACCCACCCTACACACGTGCGTGCGTCAAAATAATCATCTTGTGTCCCATAAGCATAGAGTTTTCGGGCAAGGATGATGTCGGCCAGTCTTCCGCCGCAACTTGGCCCCTCCGCGTACGGGCCTTTCGTTCCATATAAGTCCCCATAAAAGGGGCACGGGTAGCCATCTTGGCGCAACAGTATTAGACAATAAGCAAGGGTTTTGAAAAACGGCTCTACCGCCGCTTCCATTGTTTGGCCCTTTTGAGTATCGTGATTCCCGACGATTGTCTTGCACGGCAGCGTTAGCATAATGGGACGGATTGCAGATGAGAATGTATCAATCATACTACTGCATTAGCTGGTCGCCTTTCGACCAGGCTGTTCTGGAGTACACTCAAAAGATCACCATTTTTGGTCATTTTTGAGAAGTTATAGAAGAGTGCGACGTCAAACACCGAGTATGGGTGTTCCATCTTATCGAGATATCGCGTCAAAACTTCGACATCACCGTGCCAATACTCTCCTACTGAGAACAAGCCATGCCCAACAGTGCGATCCAAGTGCCCAAGGAACTCATTCATAAAATCCTGCGAAAAGTGCTGCACTGCGTCAAATCGAAAACCCTGAACGCCGGTCTCCTTTACTATCCATTCTCCCCATCTCTTGACATCCTTTCGGACTTCAGGGTCCGCATAGTCGAGATCTGCAAAGAGAAGATAGTCCGCATTTCCGTGCTCATCACCGACAGCCTGCGACCACTGCTTATTTTCTCCGTATATCCGATAGATAGCTTGTCTGTGGTTTTCCGCATTGTAATCGGTTCCGCTGAAATGCTTCCAATTATACTTCTGTGAGCTATATTTATTCTTGCGACCCAAAAAGTCAAACGCCAGCCAGGCTTCGATCTCAAATGGCGCGGTTAATTCCCTATTTCTGTCTATGAAATATTTTAGTCACGCCCCTTGTCCTAATGAGTTTCCTATTCTTACCATTGGGATCCACTTCAACAACTGGGCATCTCTCAGTGCGGTCAGCAGCAGCTTTATGATTCAAAACAGCATCCCAATAGACTTTTACGTCCAACTTGGTGGCCTCATCCATCAGCTGCATCAGCTCTTCCCTTGTTCCCCATTTAGTAGCTCTTGCCCCCTTCTGGTCAAATTCGCCAATGTCGTAGAGATCATAGATATCGTAACCGACGCTGTCAGGGCACCCAGCTTTACAGCCTGGAGGCAACCAAATTGCACTTATTCCCACCGCTTTTAACCCAGCAAGGGCGTTTCGAAGTCGATGCCAATGAGTTTGGCCACCAGGGACGTGCCACTCGAAAGCCTGTAGCAATGTCTCATTTTCAGGGGTTGGCTCCCTGTCTAATCCTCAACTCAGTTCTCCGGGTTTCATCGGGGGGAATGGCGACATTGGACGTAGGAAGCGTAAGTTGCACGGAGACGTACTTGCTTTGCTGCTCATGTTGCTGGTTTGATTTCTGATTCCTGGCAAATTACAGATGCGAGTAAAGACGAGATTGAAGGTGCAGGATCATATTGACAAGTTGGACCATTTTTCCAACGGTATGAGGCGCTGATGGTAAATCCCCTAGCCAGGGTGAGATTTCAGGAAATTAATAACTTTAGGTCAGGCAATGCGTGCTGCGCTATCTTAATCGATTAGCTCTAGTTGAATTAGTGGACATTCGGAAGCTATGTTTAACGATGGTGTTTCAAAATCCCGAGACTGAGCACTTCAAAAAGCTCCTTATGGGTCAATGATATGGACGGATATAGTCACCACGATATCTTTTAAGAATTTATCCTTTAACTGATCCGCCATTCCCGAATATTATTGATTAGTCCCGATGGGGAGTATGCAAGGCTAAGCAGTAGAAATCATACCCAAGCTAAGTCGCACCCGTGGGCGCAGGTGTTCGGTTACATGCAGGTGGTTCTGTACTTCAATGGGTCGGTGTACCTAACGTTTATGCATGACCCACCATTAAGGTCAGGTACCGTCGGTAAGGTAGCTTAGTCCGATTGGTTCCGCTCTTTTGATCATGTACTTACCTAGTACCTTACTTCGGACTCATCTGTATCCTTCTATATCAGAAAACTCCTCGGGACAAGTCAAGCTATTTGCTATTCTTGAGAAACCCCTTCCTTTCAGTAATTGTATGCTTTACTGCCTTACCGAAGGCTCCAAATGGACTCTAAGAGAACTATATCATGCTCTGCGACCTTGGCCGTATAGTTGGATAAGAGCATCTTTGCTTCCTTAATCGGGTGTAGGGGAAAACCGAAATCTTATACTCTAGAAGAGAAGTAGAAGAAGAAGAAGAAAAGGGAGGGGGGGTTTGACGATTCATCACTTGCATCAATATCAATAATGTCATTACGCAAATAAAGCAGTCATAACAGTGTGCGAAAAAAAAACCTGGTTCGCTAACCGTATCTATTCATGTATAATCTGTCTAGACTAGCTTAAACAGTTCACTACAATGTCAAGGGCAAAATGAAGGTCCGTCCAAGTGCGACCCCTCAGACTTTCGTTTTCTGTGCTTACTCTTTCAGCGGCCGCTTTTGACCTTTTCCGACATGCAAATGCTTGAGTGAAGGCATGAGAAGGATAATAAACCTGAGTGGTTCAAACACGCCTTTGACGCGAAACATAATGTCCTTTCTAGTGCTGCGATGTGGAACGGAGATTTGTCCCATCAACTCCTACTGGTTAGGTTAGTCAACTGATGCTTGAAGTTAGGAAGCCGCCTCCTGTTTCTCAGATTGAGTGGACAAAGCTTAATGACGGTTTGCGATCAGCAATACAAAGGGACCGAGCAAAGCCGCTTCGAGGGCTGAGCAATTTTCCCGAGGCAATCTAAAGCCGCCTTCTCACAAAGGAATTACCGAAAGAAAATGAAACATTGCGTTTCACCAATTTGTGAAAGTGTTTCGAGTTCACGTCATTTCGGCAGCTGGATTGGACGTGGAGTGCTGGCGCTTTGCTTGACCTTGCGCGGGACCCTAGGCAATAGATCATAACATCAGTATGCGCGGCATAAATTGTCGTTTTTTCGCTATCTTTAATGCGAAATCTCTCGGTTTATGGTTAGTAATTTAAAAGGTATAGACGTACCTCGAGGTCAGAAGCCGCGAAACTACGCTTCTTGACAAGTGTTCCGTTTGATTTAGCAGCCTTGGGCTTCTTGATACGGATCGGATGTTTCTCTCCTTGCAAGAAGACGTCGTCTGGAAGGTCGTAACTACAAATTCAGGTCCATCAGTAATGAAACGCCAGCGAAGAGACAAGTCAGTCAGCTCACTTGCGAGTATGAACGATACTCAGTGAATTTAGGTCCGGGTTATATTGAGGCCAGTTTGTGCATATGTCTTTGAATTCTTTAGTTTGCCATGATATATCGAGGCTCTTCTTGGCATCTGCAGCATGTTAGCAAAACTTTGCCATGACGGTGCTTCTCATACTTACGTTCAGCGAGCTCTATGCCCACATAATAGGTAGTAGTATAGATCACATGCTTTTCGCTGTCGTCTCGTTCCGCATCCGGATTTCCAACGGACGGCTCCAGACCACTGCCTCCGGCTTGGGCAGCTGCAATATGCCTTGGATCATTTGCTAGATCGGTCGACTCTGTTTGAGTCTCCTTTTCCTGGAATTGCAGGTTGCCGCTGAGGACCTTGTCAATCTCGTCTTCGTTACTGCAATGATGAACCCTGTCATATCCCTTGTTAAAAGGATGTGCAAGCTCTATACTGTCCACAGTTTCCAGGCTAGCGACAAGCAATCTAACTTTTGACTCTACTAGACCAGACCATAGAAGCTGCGCTTCTTTGCTTCTGCTTGCTGCAACAATGCTGAGGTAGTATTTGTAGTCTTGAGTAAAGAATGTGTGCCGACCGAAAAGCTCCTTCCAGGGGACTTGACCGGTAAGTATTTTGTCGGCAATATCTCCAGCCCTGTCGAGTTCGCGGATAATAATTTTCTTGGTCGACATAGTGATATTGTGAGTTGCACACATTGAAGGATATGCTGGTGTTATAATGGGCATGAGATGAAATCGGTCTCCGTTATACACCTGTAGATAGGTTAATTATCGCAGCTATTGAGCGTTTAGAAGAGATTCATCATGTTCAAATACCTTTGGATTCCACACTCTGACTTGAAGCGGGCCATCTTCAATAGGTTTGAGCAATACTGGCTGTGGCCACGCCCATTTGCTCATTATGCGGAAGAACTTTCCGATAATGACAGAGCCAGTTGCGTGAGGGTATAGCTGACACACGCGAGCAACAAGCATTGCCCATGCAACACCACCAGGAAAGCCCATAACATTCGCATATATCGCGCGGCCTAGAATTCCCTTAGTGGCTGAAAACGATGAATTGCGGAATCGCTTACGTTGAGCCCAAAGCTTGATGCCGCGCAGAGCATGCCTGAACGTTTTCTGTTGTGGGACAAGCTCTAGTATCTCGTCTGTGACACGGGTACCATTTAGACAACGTAGATCTCTCTCTTCCACGCCTCGTAAGAGGCTCTTGTCTTTCAATTCCAAGTCTGTTGGTACCTGGGCAACAGCTAGTCTAGCAAAGATCAGGTCGATGCTGATCCCTGAATATTCCATTTTGATAATGGGGACAAATGCATCAGGAACAGGTGTTAGCTCTTCGATTGCTCCGGGAGATGCCATCGATTCGAGTAAGGATGGAAAGTATTCGAAGAAGTCATCGCGTGAAACGTGCCTTGGGACCACCACTAGAGTGTCAATGTCCGAGCCTGCAAACATTTTAGCAGTTGTTCTTGAAAACGGGCGCCTAGCAAAGCCTCCGGCAAGAGGAAACAGCATTCAGCACTCACCTGGTCCGTAAACCCCAAGACGATAGCTGCCATAGGTAAATATTTTACCGCCGGACGACTCAATAGCAGATTGTGGCAAACCCTTTCGCTTGCTCACTTGGCGAACAAATTCGACCGTAACATTTTGCAGGGACTTAAGAACGGTGGTTCTGCAGCAACTAGTCAGTGAAAGTCGCTCATGCGTTGCATATACTGTAGCACACCTCCGTTCTGTCTCTTCAGCGCTTTCGAAATTGTTCTCTCTTTTCAACTCTGCTATCAGCGCATCATTGGCTGCCAGCTCCTTTGGGGAAGGGAGCGCCGTAGAAACGGCAGGAGTGACCCCCCACTGGCGGGTCTGCTGAGCAGCCATGAAATATGCAGGCGTTACGGATTCAACTGCGAAGACTCTGATAGAAAGGGCGTTTCGATTTCGGAATGTAGGCCAGAAGAAAACTGACGAACTGACGGAATTTTAGCTGCATTATAAATGCGCAAAAAGGAACCTTTGTAAACTTACTATCGTGCATGCAGGATTTGTGTTCTTGTCTAATTGCAAAGCGCTGAGTCGTCTTCCTTGAACTCTCCATCACAGCAGCAGGAAGAAAGAACAACTTCTGGATCTCTCTGCGCGCGTGGCCACTGTGCTTCACCGTAAACGCCAAATCACCCGATTAGGCCTTATCGATAGAGAGGCATCTTTAAATTTGCCGGCTCCAAATCTTACTCGAAATGCTGCAAATTAATATCGGCAAGGTCCTTCTCTTATCACATATGAAACTTGGCTATTGACATCATAGGAGCATTGCGTTATTAACTATGTGCAATGTAATATATCTTGAAGATATAGTGCCCATCAACTGGTTGATTTCCCATTAATGATTTGTTTCGACTTTGAAGCCGATGTTGTCAATCGTCCCTTTCCCCCCTTCAGAAACTTAGCCAGTATGTTTACAGATATCTGCGGCCTTCACAAAGCTTTTAATCTCTTTCATACACAATTTTATAAAGCATCATCGTTTCGTTTTCGCAATCATCCAGCGCTTACCTCCCAGTCTTGGGCCGCAAGCAGACTGACAGCGTGCCTGAAACATCCGGGAAGATTTTGTAAGTAGTGAATGAAACGATAGCAGATGAATCAGAGATAAATCCTGATCAGAAAGAAGCCGAGTTCTTCAGTGGACGCGATGATAATCGGAAGAAGAGCTTCCATGGTCTCATGATAAAAGTCCCTGATAGATGGTGCAAAAGGGCAAGTACATCTGGATTGTTCACCCAATTCACCGGTCTGTTCCTTTCCCGTTCAATAATATCAAATGTCTTTTCGAGCAACCCAATAATAATATCTTCCTAAGGAATATTAGTGGATGTGGGACTATTCCCCATGAGAGGTTATTTTGGTGGGTATCAATTAAGGCTCGTGGACATTTGGTTAAGAGGGTCCGGGACTCAGGGACCTGACCCTGGTCACGTTCATGGTGTATCTTGTTATATTCAACATCTAACTTAAATTTTTTTTTTTTGGTAAACCATGGCACGTCTCCGTGATTTGTTGGGTTCGAAGAAGGTATTAATATCTCTACTGATCAAGATATTTCGTTCAATTTTCCTAGCCTCGGTACGGGAGGTAAAGTACTTTTGGAACGACCGCGGCAAACGCCTGAAATACACTACGTAGCATGAATGCATCGTCTCGTAATGAAAGAGATTCGTACCTCATCAGAATAACCCATTCAATTATCAAGGGGTTTCTACTAACTTACATGAAAGAATAAGAACCGGCGCTTACTCGTTATCTGTATCCCTCTTATTTCTCATTCCAATATTCCGTGAGTGTAGTCAAATTCAGCACAAGACTACGCTCCTTCAATCGATCATTGCAGTGGAACCTTTGACAAGTGCTGTTTTCAGGGTTATTTGCAGAATGTCACAAGGCGCCTCTCAAGAGCCTGAAGCCACTCTGTCACAACCCTTCGCGGAGCGAGGCGCTTTTGAAAAGGCTGTGCAGCGTAACCCTCATCCCGAATTTAAAAAGGTCGAGGCCTCACGGCCCGGTTGGCGAGAAGATGTTGAATTCAACTACACTAAGACTAAAAGTCCCGAATGGAAACCGGGCCAAGGGGGAAATGACAATGGAGAAAGTTTGAATAAGGAACACATCCAAATTGACCCCTACGAAGAAGGAAGACCAGCCGTATATAACTACAAATTACTGATATCTGGGATCATACCTCGGCCAATTGGGTTCATAAGCACTTGTTCCGGAGATGGTAAGATATCTCCAGCGCCCCAATATAATCACGCATTGCGGATAGACCGTAACCATTCGCGATAGGAAGGTCAACAAATCTTGCTCCTATGAGCTATTTTCAAGTGGTCAATCATGATCCCCCAGTCTTCACCGTTGGGTTTTCCGGAGGACTGGAAAATGCAAAGGACAGTCTCCGGAACTTGACGGAAACTAAAGAATGTGTGTTTTGGAATGCTTTTTATTTTCAAGGCGCCAAATTATTGTGACTTTCATAATAACCTCCTGACCGAGTCCAGGTGTTATCAACATTATCTCGGAACATTTTATAGAGGCAGCGAACTTCACCTCCATCACTGCGCCTTATGGGGTTTCAGAATGGGCCTTGACTGGTTTGCATCCCGAACCTTGCTCAACAGTGAAGGCTTCCCGTGTCAAGGAATCAATATTTTCCGTCGAAGGAATGCTTGTACAAACGCATGAATTCTCGAGCCGAGCTGATCCTGGGAAAAAGACTGGTGTGCTGGCAATCATTGAAGGGACCAGATTCTGGGTTCGTGAAGATGCAATTAACAAGGAAAAAAACATCATAGATCCAGCAGTATGTCGACGCCAAACTTCAATTATTTGGGTTATCTAACGCTGGACGTGACTTTCTAGGTACTACGGCCGATGAGTCGCCTCGGTGGTATAGGCTATGGGCGCCTGGTCGAAGGGATCGAAATACCACGGCCAGAATGGAAGGAATTCCTCGTATCTGAAGACTTTCAAAAATTAATACAACCAAAAGCGGACGGCCAGTAGAACAGGGAATAAGGAAGAGTACTAAATTCTATATCCTTTATCTGGATGATCGAGTTATAATAACTTCTCTGGATTGGGACGGAAGCGAGATGATGAAACAGCTAAAATTGCCATGTTTTGAAAGAGGAGCTTTTCTTTGCATAATTATTTATAGAGATTGTATTTTTAGAGAGGCATGTAATTTGCCTATGGCATAAGGGTTTTCCTGAGCATTTTCCGTCTGTAAAAACAAGTTCGCCACGGGTCGGGTAAACGAAGAAAGTCCGCTGCATGCCATATCATTCGAGAGAGGAAGAGGTAATTAGCCTATGGTCGATGAATTAAACCTTGTATTCCTCTAAAGATTTCCCTGTGCTGATTCAATTTTATTAATCGGAAAGTTTTGGATACCCTTTGCAAACAAAGCCCGTAATATATATAGGTAATTACCGAGTGCTCGATACAGTAGTCTTTCGGCTCCGCGATGTTGTTTGTGGCCAACCGTTGCAATCTACTTATTACTGTAACCCTTTGTATGTCAGCGCTGTTGACTCAGCCTCACTCCTCGCAAGTCGATGGCTGTTGATTAGTCCACCGTCACTATAGTCTTTGGACTTGCTTGTTTCTCGGCCTTCCCGACCGACCGGCTTCTACACATACTCCTTGAAACAGGTGTCTCGCGTCTGTTCATATATTACGGACTTGATGAGCTCACGATTCAGGAACCTCGGGTTTGGCTCCAAACGGAAGTCCTCTGGCAACGTTCAGACGGAGAGTACCCCACCACCGGTAGCAAACAGCACACTTCCTGTTGGCACCGCACCTCCGTCTGGAGCCAACTCCTCAAATTCCAGTCTTCCTATGAATCCACACAATCCGTTGGGAAGGCCCCCATCGTACACTCCCCCAAATCCTGGTCATCTCGGTGCTCCTCCGCCCCATGTTGGTCGACCAACGAGTCCGATACCTCCTCAGCAAATTGGGCACCCTCCCGCAACTCAGTCAGGATATGGCTATTCCCCCCAACCATATCCAGCAATGAGAACTCCGCAGATGCCTTCAAGACCGTACGGTGGGACCTATGCGATTCCCAATCAGCAGTTCCAGGCACCCGTTGAAGTTGAAGACGCCGCGAGGAGCAAGGCTCAGCTTATTGTTGGCATTGATTTTGTAAGGCTGGGCGGTCGTCCTTTTTAATCGCTATTCTCTGACTTTTTAATACTAGGGCACAACCTTTTCCGGCGTGGCCTTTGCATTTGCGACCAACAACGAAGTGAAAGAAGACATCATCACGGAATGGCCTGGTGCTGGAAACCAGACTAAGCAGAAGGCAATTACACTTCCCGCTTCAAAGATCGTCAACTAACCTAGACAGATCCCCACTGTTCTCTATTACGATCAGTATCAAAAAGTTGTGGGATGGGGCCCAGATATTGCCGACGCTCTCGCGCCCACTGGCTATCCCAAACTTGGCGTTCAGAAAGTAGAATGGTTCAAGCTGCAGCTTATGTTATCCGGAAACACATACATTGATCCTATAAACCTTCCTCCTCTGCCGCCTGGGAAATCCGAGATCGACGTTGCGGCCGATTACCTTTTCAAACTTCGGCAGGCTATGAGGAATCAATTGCAGAAGACCCTTGGCGAAGTTTTCAATAGAGAAGAACGCAACATTAAATACTTTCTCACAGTTCCTGCCATCTGGAATGATGCAGGGAAGGCTGCCACCCGAGCCGCTGCTATCCAAGCTGGTTTTCTACGAGACGAGAACGATAACCGACTTACTTTAGTGACTGAACCCGAGGCTGCGGCCATGTTCTGCTCCAAGACTGGTCTCCTCAATCTCAAAATCCACGATGCTGTTTTGATAGTAGACTGCGGTGGAGGGACTGTTGATTTGATAGCCTATGAAGTTGAAGAAGAGCAGCCATTTACTGTGGCAGAATGTACTGCAGGGTCTGGAGATTCTTGTGGTTCTACGGCGCTCAATCGAAATTTCAGTAATATTTTACGCGCGAAAATCCGTAAAATGAAGCTTCCGGATGGATCGAAGACAGCTGGAAAGGTGTATGCGAAATGCATAATGGACTTTGAAAACAGGATCAAAGCTGACTTCAGGAACAACGGTCAAAAGTGGGCCGTCGATGTTGGCATTGAAGCCGAATTTCCTGAGGCTGGGATAGAGGAAGGGTACATGACGTTCACAAATGAGGAGATTCTACAGTGCTTCGAACCCGTTGTCAATCGAATACTTGAGTTGGTTCGAAATCAAATTATTGCGATCCAAGCTCAAAATAGGGCTTTACAGGTATGAATTCTTCTGTTTCAGGCCTATTCTATCGCTAATTTGATTAGAATGTGCTCGTGGTCGGCGGCTTTGGTGCGTCCGAATATCTCTTCCAGCAGATTAAGCTTCATGTGCCTCCACAATTCCAGTCAAAGGTCGTTCGACCTATGGACTCTGTTGCTGCCATAGTCAAGGGCGCAGTCACTGCAGGAATCACTGAAAGGGTCATTACTTCACGAGTTGCTCGTCGACACTACCTTATGGCTACTCTGCAACCTTTCAAGGAAGGCCATCATCCAGAGCAGTACCGTGTCCCATCACTGGATGGTAAAGATAGATGTAAATATACTCGGCAAATATTTGTTCAGAAGGGCCAAAGAGTAAAGATCGGTGAGCCGGTGAAAGTCTCTTTTTTCCGACAAGTCGCACCCGGCGCAACTCTCATGTACGAGGATATCCTCTATGCTTGCGACGACGATGTCTGCCCGGAGTATACCAAAGACCCACGTAAGTTCGCTTTCGATTGACACCTTGATCAAACACTCATATTCTCTACAGGGATCAAGGAGGTTGTTACGCTCACCTCAGACCTGTCTCGGAAAAACTTGGAGAAAGACTTCGAAAGGATGGATACGCCACAAGGCACATTTTACAGAGTTTACTTTGACATATATCTTACACTTGATGGTAGCGAGTTCAATGCAGAACTGGTTTGCCAAGGCGAAGTTATGGGCCGCTGCACCGCAAAGTTTCGATAGATGTTCCCATTTCCGCATGAAATACTTATTTTATGGCTTTTTGGACATTATGCTCACGCTCTTTGCTCAAGGCTTTATACCTATATCAAATGTTCTCAGCATCTGTCATCATAGCGGGTTATCCTTCCAATATTGCAATCCATTTTATTTCAATTTTCGGTTTTTGATATGCTACTTATACTTGCTTTACGTTTTCGTCAGTAAGCTGAAGTCAAGCCATAGTTCTTCCGATAGCAAAGAGGTATGTTACCTTTATGAGCAATTTTTTTCGACTCCAAGATCCTTTGCGCTGGAAATGCCGGCAATTACTCGGTACTCTTGTGCTACCTCCGGCTATCTAATTGATAATCAAACTAAGAGTGCTTCTGAAGCAATGCCACTTTTACGACGAGATATTCTGACATAGTGCAGGTCTAAATTATACGGCCTACGAAAATGGCGTACTATCGCATCCCGCAGACAGCCACGATTGAATTATCATTTGTGCTAGTACGCGTGCAGATATCTTTTTATACAATTTTGCTATGGAATGGGTAGGCAGAGGCATTGGCTTTCAGAAGTACGTTCGCCCTGCAACAAATAAATGAAGTTGGGCATAGAGCAATGTAGCATGTCGAATATAATACGGCGGTGGTTGTCGTCAATCTATCCTTGTTCTAAAATGCTCAGCTCTGCTCAGCCCTTTCCGTCTCCTTAGGGGGAAGGAACCTTGACTTTGTTGGGTACTTTTCTGCATTCCTTCCTGATGTGGGTATGGAAGCCAATGGCAATATTCCTTTTTCTCCTCTATCGCAAAGCCAACCTTAAAATCAACATGTCTTTCTTTTATTGATGGCCTTTCGAGTAGTGGCCGGATGCTTTCGGCGACGTGCGTTCTACTCGCGTTCCTTCGTTATTACTTCGTTATCCATTTTAGTCTTTATTACGTGTTTGGCTGAAGGAGCCCAAAATGCTTTGCCCTTACGAAGTCACCGGACAGGAAGACGCGAAGCGGATACAGTTCCTCTACAGATCACGAACAACTGCCCTGAAATAATATATCCTGGAATTATCACCCAATCAGGATTTGCTCCTGGGTTCGGCGGGTTTCAGCTCATGCCGGGTGCCCAGGAGTCATTGACGATAGGCTCAGATTGGCAAGGGCGTGTATGGGGTCGGACAAATTGTAGCTTCAACGCGGATGGAACGGGTCCAGCTAACAATGGCGGGAACAATGGAGGTGGACAAGCCTGTGCCACTGGTGACTGCAATGGAGTACTGAATTGCATGGTGACTGTAAGTCCGAGAAAGAATTTTCTTAAGCATAGCGGTTAATTCTCCTGGCAGGGAAATACTCCAGTGACGCTCGCTGAGTTTACTCTGGCCTCTTCTACTGGGCAGACATTTTACGATATCTCTCTCGTTGACGGTTACAATTTACCTATTGCGATCGTTTCACTTCATGCGGAGTCAGGTATTGCTGATATTGAGAACATTCCATCAAACCTCACCAACCCAATTTGCATTGGTACAGCCGGACTTCTCGCAGCGCAGGGCTGGGACCCTTATACTAGCGGAGCAACAGACTATGCGGCGTTACTCGGAACAAATTCATCATTTCCTCTTCCTTTTGACCAGCAGGTCACGGTCAACGATGTTTCCTCATGGTGCCCGTGGGACCTACAATTAGACCCGCCAACAAGTCCTCAGGATGGCGTATATTCTTATCCGGATAACAGCATACAAAGGCCGATTTTCGACCCCTGCTACTCCGCTTGTGCAAAATGGAGTCAGCCTGGGGATTGCTGCACCGGCGAATATAACAGCCCTGGCGCGTGTAAGCCTAGTGCTTATAGCAGAGATGCAAAGAAAATCTGCCCAGATGCATACAGTTACGGTAAGGTTTCTTGTTTCTTTTTTCTGTAAGCTATCACTGCTCACTAGTGTCTCAGCGTTCGACGACCAAACTTCGACATTCATCATTCCGTCGGGTGGTGGATTTGGTGTAGTTTTTTGTCCAGAGGGAAGATCCACGACAATACTCAGTACCACTACTCCTGCCGAAGCGCAGCTGCTTTCAGGCTCAGAGTATAAAGCTTACAGAAAGGCTACCGTTCAAAAAAACGTGGCCTTTCAGGCGGTCAATATCTCGTACAAGAGAAAATGGCCGCATCTTGCCGCGGCTGGCTTGATTTTTGTTATTTTGACGGGTTTGTGAAATCAAATCCCTTTGTTCATCGAAAACACATATAGCTTAGTTATTAACAACCCGTTTAAGCTTTGCATTGCGAGGGTGTCTATCAGTATCGTTCTAATAATATTTTTAAAATTTTCCTGGACATGTGAAGTTTTTTTAGATTTGGTGAGGCAACCAGCGAATCACTCGTTTACCTAGACTTTTTATCCTGGTCACGGAAGGGGTTCGAGTTATGCGGAGGTCCTGACCAACAGTTTACCAAATGCGGGCACTAGCGGCAAGGATAGATCGTATACGTAGTACATAAGCTCTCTCTCCAGATGACGACTTATCGAGTCATAAGCATCACCGGTCGACGCAAAGCGCAACAAACATTAGCAGGCCACGATCAGCAGTTTATTCAAGGCCGACATCCTTAAGGGCGCTAAATGCTGCTAACATATGCTTTACCATTGAACATTCACAGGTGGTGAGACATGATTATCGCCACAAATTCTACGCAGCCCAGACAATACTCAAATACATCTATTCACTTACCCCGTCTTATTGTTTTTCGAAAGACTTCATCCATTGTACGCTATATATAAGGTGCTTTCGCGTCTGTATACGATAATCCTCTATGGCAACCCCGGTTGTCCGGACCGCCTTGATCCGGATCCGCTGCATCGTCGACCAACTTTTACCTTTTACTTTTCCGGATACTCCTGTCGCACAGGATATATTACATACAGTCATTCTTTGTTCCCTCTTATATTTCGCGCCCTCGCTTTTTGAGCGATGGCGTGGCTGGGCATCACGGAGAGGACAGAACTTTTCCGGGGAGCATAGGGGAAATGGGGGTACTGGTTATTCATGGATAATTCATCATATGGGCTCTAGAACCGCGAACGCAGATGTAAATTTTGGGGATGTGGTCGAAGCTGAAGGCGAATTCCGCCCGACGCCAGAAGCCTCCGACGAGGACTACAACGTCCTTGATGAAGTTGAGCCTGAAGAAACTGGAGGGATTGCAAATCAAATTCAGCTCGAAGGGGACAATGCAGCAGCTCCAATGGCAAATGGCGCGGGAAGATTTGAGCCCGAAGCATTCGACACAGACGCGGACACAGGCGCCAGACTACCAACACAGCACCAACCTCACGTAGCTGCGGGCGATTCGGCAAGTCAATCTCGCAGCCGAGAGGTTGGCAAAAAGAAAGCTGCATCACTCGCCCGTCGCGATCAGCGGCGTGCGTATTATGAATTTCTCCGTTCTCAGGGTGACGCACAGCGCGCACGGGATCGCGCGGCTGAAGCTGTCCTAAGCACGGAACAAATTGAAGTAAAGCAACGTCGACTCCGCCAGGAGCAGCAGCTCCGTGAAAGGCGTCAAGCGGAATGGACAAGCAAGCGGGAACGCGAGCGCCAAATCAGAGAGGAGCAACTTCTACAAAGACAGAACATTGTATCAAAGGTGCGAAAGGATCTACAGAATCAAGGGTGGTCTGATATCAGAGCTATCTCCGAAAACCTCAACCATACTAGTCGTCCTAAGCTAGAGTTGGATGCTCTGGGACTTCGTCTTGATTCACTTGTCAAATCTCCCAGTAGAGTCAACGAAAACGACAGCCGCCAATCAGGACATGTTACGCCAGAGTGGGTAGTTCGACTAGTTCGTGCGGATGGTCTCGTCATTAACGAAGTCAGCGGAGGCAGTATTAATCTTCTCACTCACGCCGGGTTCCTCGTTCATATAGATGAAAAGGATATGAGGGTAGTGTATCAAATGGCTCTAGAATTCCGCGCAAAGGACGTGGGAGAAAGCGTGGGGAAAGCAAATGGTATTACGAGCAGCTACAGTGTTGATGACAGGGTCGGACCTATAGGCTGGATTGATATTGGCCGATTCTTGGAGAAAACCCTACGAGAAAACTTCCGACAGAATGGGGGGAAATGCCAGTGACAGCCAAAGAGTATAACATACGCAACCCATGTGTTTTTCGATGAAAATAAACAACACTTCACACAGGTACATCACAAATTGGTTCCCGAACAAGTAATCAAAACATAACTTAGATAGAATAAATGATACAGTCATGATTTGAAATATTAATAATTATTGAGTGCTGAGCAATTCACATATCATTATAAACAGTATTTAAAGGTATTTGTCCCAAATCGCAAATTATTCATTAACCTTCCATAGACTCCAAGCTCTTAATCTTGCTAATTCTTTTGTACCTTGCTACCTCCAACACCAAGCGCCTCTTGTTTGCCCTTCAAGTACGCAATCTCCGTTTTTTTTTCATTTTCCTAGACCTGCTCATGTCCTCCATCTGCTCACTTCTCTTTCCCGAATGCAAAATGTTCCCTATTCGATATCCACCTTCTTCACTTCAATGTATTCCTTCTCTTGCTTTGGTACGTTGATGCGAAGAATGCCATCTTCGAGCTTTGCTGTAATGGCGTCTTGCTCAATTAGAGCGGGCTCAGCGCGAGTTCCCAGCTTAATTTTCCGATCGAAAGCTCCAATCTGCGTCTCGCTTAGGACGAGAGACTTCAAAAATTCCTCATCGCCGAGGCGGTGGACAACTCCACTGATTGACAATTCGCTGTCATCTACATCCCAGGTCACACTGATGTCCTCCTTACGTGCCCCAGGAACATAGGCATAAATAACGTAGGAGGGATCAGTATCAAAGACATCCACGGCAAGACGGAATTCCTGGCCATCAATTGCCCGTCCACCAAAGGGTGATTCGAATAGGCGTGCGCGTGGATCAATGAAGGGATGCAACCCGCCTCGAGGCCCTTGGTGACGGAGTCCGCCACGAGCACCAAAGCCACCGCCGCGACCCATACCACCCCGGGCACAAGGCCCACCAAAGCCCCCGCGCCGGCCACCAAAAGACATGCCGCCGCGCCCGGCTGGGCCGTGGCCTCCACGATGGTGACCAAGACCTTCAAAGTGTGGCGGTCCATTGCGGAAAGGCAACTCTCCAAAGCCTGCAAAACCATAATCGGGGCCCGGGCCAAATCTATCAGCACTCGGGTGGCTTTCCCGATGAGCAGGGCTGTCTTCAAAACGTTCATCGGTTGGGGGCATATCCTCTTCTGCAGAGGCTCCTCGGCGCATGTGAAAGGCGTCCATTGTATATGGAGGCATTCCAGGTCCGCCGAACGCAAATGGTGGGTGATTCCGGCTATCTTCCAGACCGGAGGTAAAGTCCCAGAATGGGCCGTTTGATTGGTTCAGCTCTTTGATTGAAGGCATCTTGCGAGTAGAAGAGTCTAACGAGAAATTGATCTGAGAATCTTTTGCGATGGTTGATCGTAGGTTGAGATGTGCTGCCGGCTTTCGTATGATTTTCAGCTGGTTGGCGTATTTGAAAAGGAGAAGAAAGTGGAAATTCAGCTCTTATTTATATGCATAACGTCTGCCTCAAGGCTCCAGGATGTTCTCATGTCACTCTCCGAGGCGCAGAGTATGGTCGGAGCTTTCAACACCGCCTTGACCGATCATCTAAGCTGCATCTGAAGACTGAAGGGAGGTCATGTGAGTTGATAGAGCTTCAGGCAGTAAAAACGCGCGTTTCCGGGTGCCACAGAGCGGAGGAAGTCACAGAAGACGCCTCGGAGTCGACGATACGTAAACGCCAGAGGTACGCCGGAGAATTAAGAACCGATGTCCGCCACGGCTGAATGAGCGGGTTGGCATTGTTTGCGCCACCGAAGGGGGCAAAGGGATAGCGTTCTAAGCTCCGAATTCACATGAACAGTCGACACACTTTGTTGCCACAGGCCCGAACCTCCGATGTGGCTCACCACTCGGCCCCGAGAATTGATGAGGTAAGAGATTAGATTAGACTTCGTACCCATCAATCTGCGAACGATCCGGGCAAACCTGAGGCCCTCTCCACGCCGTCGCGTCTCCTTATGGTGTTCTTTTGCAAATTGAAATCTTGCTCTATCGATCCCTGAATATCAACGTTCTTTTTTAATCCTTGCCAAGCTCAAATAAAAACATGTTAGGTTTGCAGTTTGACGCGGTTTTCGATCGCCTCTCTGCCTCAGTAAGTAATGTGCTATTCCTAATTCTACAAACCCTATTCCTGACAGGATGAAACAAGAATTTACATATCTATCTTGAATGAACAATGTAGAATAGTATTGGAGACCTTCTGAATTCCTTAAATAGTCATTTTGTTTCTTGTATTATCCACATATTGATATGTATGTCGAACTAACTCTTATTCATAACTATAGCACTGTGTAGAGAAAGGGACTCTTCTACCATAAATTTCAACCATTAAGGCTCTCCTATATATTATCTTTGTGGAGCAGCTTCCAAAAAGATTGAATTTGCATTAAAGCTGCTGGACATCGTCTTTGTGTAGGCCAGACCTACTGAACACAAGTCATTGTCTCTGTCCCGAATCCGGTGTGATATATCATTTCATTGTCCTTGGAATAAATTTAATTTTCGGTCCAAAATCTTCTTTCACCAGTTCAAGTACGTGAAGCAAAACTATCACAGATGAATACAAAGAGACAATGCATTCATTGTTTGACAGAAATAAAGCAAATTCTCCCTCTAAGGTTTCTTTGTCGAGTCGAGTCTATATCTACAGCGATAGTTTTCGCAAGGATGCAAATAAGCAAACATAACTCCGTATCATCACATTTTGTATCCTCTGCAAAGGGAATTGATATCAGCAAAACAGATCCAAACAACTACGCCATATTTAGCAGTCCAATTTCCGTACGCGCCGATCCTCCACAATGGCCAGCAATCCAACTACCTTGATCTCTCCTGGGGAGCCGGACTCCCTAGTTGAGAACGAATTTAAACAAATCTCAAATGTTTTCGATAACTTATTTGACATTTCAATGATGTCAATTCCATCAGTTAAGGAGGAAAATAATGACGAGATTCTTGAATGTAAGGAATTTAATCCAACAGAATTGATCGATGGTCCCGCGAGCTCTGGTAATCTGCAGCAAATTGCGCTTTCTGATTTGGATGGCGTATTCAGCTTGTGTGATGCCAAATGCTCCTCTTCACAGACAATACTGTCCTCCTCGGTGGCCGTTTCCCCTTTCCACAATCACCTGGCTCAAATAGAACCGAATCTGTATCAATGGCAGCTTTCAAAAACAGGCGATCCTCTCTTTTGGTGCCCTCCTTTTGCAGCTTCAGAACTCCGAGAGCAGTATTGGCAGGAACCGTTGACACGAAATACAGCTGATACGGCTACAGGCAATGGTATATCTTCCAGCGGATTCACAATTCCCAGGTCCGAATGTCCTATTTCTGATGACTTCGTGGCGCTGGATTCTAATATGTCGGGCTTATTTGGCATTGCTCCTTCCGCTCCGTCAGACGAATCAATTGAAAGAGCTCCTCAAATTTCTTCGTACTTGCCAGCCAAGGTAGACCGACCGACCATGCACAACTCAAATTCCGACCCAACTGATCCGCAACAGATTCCTTTCTCTACCCATATCGAGCAATCTTCATTCCGCAACGTTTCCCAGGTGCGAAGTCCGTATTTATCCAGTCCCGGTGCACAGAAAAGTGTGTTGACAGGAAACAGGAACAGCCGCTCCGTAAAAATAGCAGCCTTCGATCCCTCGAGTATATATACCGCATTACCTTCAACTCCTGCGCCTTGGGGTCCTTTTGAGTATACGTCAAACGGTGAGTTACTCCCGGGGGAGACTTATACGGTATCACAGATCAAGCAATATTTATATCACCATCCTTTGCACGATCTAGGCAACCGGGATAACCCAAAGGACGCCTGCAACTTGGTTGGGCATGAGAGTGATTCCTATTCGAAACGAGACACCAGTGCTTTAGTTCTATGGATTCAGCGTGTGCCCGCCGACTCTCGTAGGCGCTATCCCACGCCACTCTCGAGCCGGTGCCGTTTCGAGGATTGTTGCGGTGCAAACAACAAGATAAATGTAGGCCATTTCCGCGTTGCATTTGACGAACAGTCACACAAACGCTTAGGTACTGACCCATATATTCACGCTGGATATGTGCATTTGTATTGCCTGGAAAAGTTTCTCGATCTTCCTGCACTTATTCGAGATCTCAATTTTCGCGTCGACAATCGTAGCTTGCCGAAGGAAATAGGACGCATCAATCGCATGAGCCTGGGCGAACGCAATGTATTTGCTGTCGCTCGAAAGTTTCTCAAAGCTTGCAATATTCCTGGCGAGCTTTCGGGCGAAAATACCAACCACGCTAGACTCAGCCAGATTTTGAAGGATTATCCACGGTTAAGAAATGATAAATCTAACGCCAGCCATCCTAGCCAAGAGCAAAGAAATGGGACGGAAGGCGCCTTTCGTCATGAGGGCAGTTTCACGCATCTTCTGCACCTCGCAAAGCTTGACGAGGAACCCTGCATCAGACAACGAATAAGAAACGCAAGAGGTAACAAGGGGACCATGATCAATAATCATTTGGGCAACTTAGACTTCCAGATCCGAGAGAGAGAGTATGCCGCAAGCCAAAGAAAACTGAAGGGCATTACGGGTACAAGAAAGAGGAGACAATCCGCTATGGGTGGTAATGACTCGGATGGAGACTCCGAGGGAAGGTATAAGGGAACGATCAACGAAGCAAGTGGAAGCGGAGGGTCTATGCAACAAATTCGACTACCCGTGAAGCGCTTAAGGAAGTGAACAAGGTTAATTCAAAATCCTCCTTCTCGGAAGAGATGACTATTTCTGACTGATTTTAAAGCACCCACACTATATTTTGGGCATCCCGTATTTTCAATGCTAAACGTTTTGTCAGATGCACAGGTTATTTTAATGAAAAATAGAGCTGTTGAATTTATTTTATCCTTCGAGCTACCCAGGTTGAGATCTCGTATATATTTTGAAGCATGCTCCGGGGATTTTGTATGTAGCCGGTAGCAAAAGGTTGCTTTATATGTTTTTCAAGCTTGAAACCACTTCGCTCGAGAAGGAGAATGACTTCGTTATCAGTCAGCTCGACGCTTCCGGTGTGAGCAAATCCCGCTGAATTTTGGCGTTTGTGGCCAGATGAGATTTGTATCCCTTCTTCCGTAGCGCTTGTATCGGCTGTTTTGCTCAAATTTCGTTTGGCACCAATATCCGAGTCTTCAAAGTGCCAAAGTAATGGGCCTAGATTTATCCAAATTCCCCCTTCTCGTAGGCAATTCTTTATGGTTTCGATATAATCGAATAAATTCGGTGCTGTATCGATAAAGAATACAGTTGCTACCGCATCGTAGGCAGCGTTATGTGCGGCATCCCCATAGAGCATTGTGAAATCTGCAGCAGACATACTGAGCCGCTCGAACGCATGCGTCATCGCTCCTTGAGAGGCTTCTGCGAGAGCGGCAGCGGGATGGACGTCTGGGACCATGACTTTTTGCAGTTGATGCTCCCGTGAACTATGGTTAGAGAAGCTCAAAGCCCACGGGTAAAGAGCTAATTGTTCGGCACATCGGGTATGGTTGAGAATGAAGCTGCTGGCTATCAACTGATGGTACGAAATTTCATTTCCCTCTGTGCAGAACCCTGCAGCGTTGATTTCGAACACGAGGCGGCCAAGACCAGCGCCAGGCACGAGGACCTTAACTGAGCCCTTATCTGGACATGTCGAGAACTCTTCTAGGAGAATATCTAGAACGGGCCTGTAACATGCCTGTCGCTCGGCAGCCCCTTCAATGCTCCAATCTCTATAAAGCTGGCGAATAGTTGTTTGCGCTTTATCTAGATCAGAAGGAGTAGCAAATCCCCGCCAGTCCATGGATTTGTCTTGCGGTGTTTCCTCTAGACCGAAGGCTTCTAACCCAGCCCGTAAAATGGCGTCAGCAATATCAGCATTGGCATCGATTGCATCGTCTACACGTAAGAGTGTGTCCAGAAACAAAAAGGGCGGAGCGGCAAGGATCTCCCATTGTTTGGATGGTAGAGCATAAAAGTTCTGTCGCCGTCGATGGGTAACATTGAAATGAGCTGCTCTTCGATACTGTCTAGTTTTTCAGTATTATCAGCTCAATAACCGGCGTATACTGTAGAAATTACTCTCTACCGAAATGAATCCAGTGCTGCAAACAATACTCGCTTCTCCTCGGCATCGGCGAATGGATCAAATTCACCACTCCATTCCCCTTCTGTAGGCATTCTGAATACTTAATGTCGGGAGCAAATCCGGGGTTTGGTTAATTAGATCTTCAGGTTAGGGATTTTGAGGTCACATAATCTGTTCGATTTCGTTTTGAGTTCAAGTTATTTTGGGAGATGATTACCAGCCGAAGTCAACTCCGTCTCCTAATTAACCTAACTAACTGGTTCGTCTCATCTAGGTAAGTTCCTGCCTAGCGATAGATGATTATCTTTCATCCTACCTTCTCACACATCAGAATTACCCATGATGGCTTCTGAAATTCGTAGAGAGCAGTCATTTTCGAGGCCCCTGCAACTCATTGTACCGCTTCTAAGATCCCCTCATGTAATTGTTCACCTCCATGTTACAATTCTTTCGGCTTCATTGCTCCTTTTCCTGACAGCGTCTATCGGCGAGGCCAGCAATTTACCTACACTTGGTAGCTTTGTTTATGCTATCCCCCCAGTAAGACCACAATTCTCTACAGCCAAGCATTTCGACATCTGCTAACTGAGATTGTTACAGAGTGTTGGCAGCACTAGCGTACTTAGCACGCCACTTTATGTGCGGGAAGGTTCCCTGGAGTTTGCTACTCGCGTTGCCCAGATTCTTGCACGGAAAACGAGAATGCCCATCTACGTCGGAAGTAGCCTTTCACTCGGGATGAATTATGGTATATCTGTGGATGAGGAGATGGACGCTCTTGCACAAATAACCAATGTAGTACTCGATGAGGTGGTGAAACAATGAAGCGAGTTGATTCAGCTGTCTTCGATCTCTATCGAGCTCTCTCTCTTCCACTACGAATCGAGAAAAACGGTATAGGGTTGAGAATCAAATATTCTTACTGATCAAAGCTTCTCTTCATTTCCCTTTCATATACAAGATACGTTAAAATACGTCCTTTTCCGAAAACAAACTCTGTCAATAGTAGTGAAAATCAAATAATTTATTTACCAAAATTCTTTTTCCAGAGCAAACTATAAATAGCAAGCTAATATCAATAAACAGATATATCTAAGTTGATTGAGTAAGCTTGGTTTTGCTTACTGTTTCTTACTTTCGCTTGGACCAACAATCATCTTCAATGTCAAGCATAAGGTAGTTATGGAAAGTGTTATATTTATATTTGTCTGGATCTTTAAGGATATGCTCAGCTTGTTAAACGAGTGTTGAATTGAGTCCGTTTTGTAGTCCCTGACATGAGCGGGTGGCTTAATTTGTCCTTTTCTCTCTGACGCTAACCCACCGTCCCTGAGTCCGATTTCGAACTGGTATTGGCCCCGAGCTTCTTCTCTTCAGCCGCTTTGTTAATATCAGGGATTGCATTCGCCTCCGGCTTCTTCAAGATGCTCCTCCATTCCAACGCGCCTGCGCCGAGGACGGTAATAGACGAAAGGATCAGCCCGATCTGAAAGACCCTCCGCAGCGCCTCATTGTAAGCTGCGACGATTGTCTCCCGGTGATTCGTAGACAGCGAGTTAAGGAGCGACGTGACGCCACCGGATGTAATAAGACTTGATTTAAATCCAGGGACCCCAGAAAGCCGGTGCAAAAGCTGATTGCCTAGTACGTTTTCCCCAACCGAGACGAACACCGCTGCACCCAGGAGTTGACTGAAAAACATCAGCGCCAAACCAATCGGCACATCCTCCGTCGGCAATACGGTCTGCACTGCAAGGTTCGGCTGTTGGAAACACAAACCCATGCCGAATCCGTACAGGACTTGATAACCGATCCACTTCCCTTCACCTGTGTCTATCTGGAGGGTTGTAAGGAGCCCGGCTCCCACAGACATGATGCAAGATCCTACGATTGCGAATGGCGTGTAGTATCCGATCTTCGAAGTTGTGATTCCAGCGAGAATTGAGCCGATAACCATTGATAGCATTATAGGCAGAAGGCGGATGCCCGAATCCACGGCAGGGACACCTTTTATGGATTGAAACCAGATAGGGAGGAAGTATGCTGTAACCAAGCTCAGCCATAAGGTGATGATATCGGACTATTAATCTTCTTACCATATATGTATTGCGAAGAGCCGACGCACAAGGTCGCCCAGCACCCGGCCACGATACTCCGCTGCTTGAAAATACGCGGAGGGATCATTGCTGTCTTAGGGAGGAATATCTGGGCAGCAACGAATGCACCAAGCAACACTCCTGTAAGTGTCAACAATGCTATAATACGCCCGTTGTTCCACTGAAGACCATCAATACATAGGAAATTTCAAAATGACGGTCTGAGTAACTCACAAAATACGTCTGGCCACCCCATTGGAGGGCCAATAGAAGACAGACCATACCAGGTAATAGGGCTGTAGTACCAAGAGCATCGAGTTGCAACAGCTTTTCCGTCCAGGGGAGCTTGGTTGTTTCTCGTTCGGGAACCCTGAGACACATTGCGATGACAACCATCGCCACGCCACCGATAGGTAGATTGATATAGAAGCACCACCTCCACGTTACATTTGAGGTAAAAGCCCCGCCAATCATTGGGCCCACAATCGAAGCAATGCCAAAGAGGGCACCGAAGAGGCCTTGTATTTTTGGACGATTTTTCAAGGAAACAACATAGACAACGGACACAATCTATGGATAAATGTCAGCAGTTGAGGGTGATGAACGAGCGAATTAGCGGTGAACTTACAGTCCCAGCAAAGATGCCCGCGGCGCCCACTCCAGAGAGTGCTCTTCCAACGATGAAGGCCACCGAGTTAGGCGCAGCTCCACAGAGTGCAGAGGCTATCTCAAATAGTAGGATACTTGCGAGAAGGACGCCTTTCACAGAGTACAATGTGTAAAATTTTCCAAACAAGAGCTGAAACCCGCAACATGTCAACAAATATGCGCTTCCGTACCAGCCGACGTCAGTAAGGGAATTGAATTCATCAGTGATTTGAGGGATTGCCTGGCCAGAATAAGTAAGCACATGTCTCGCAGCGCGACAACAAGGATCGTCTGAATGTGAGCTCTGCTGTATGAAGTGTCGTCATACCGTTGAGACGATAGTTCTATCTAGAGCGACCAGGAACATGCTTATGAGGACCGAGATGAGTAGGAGAGCAGTCCTTGTGGCCGGCTGCTCCTGATAGGTTCCGTCGGGGTTTCTCAAATCATTTTCGACCGCAACATCTTCAGGCATCTCGCCGACGTGTGTTGTGGCCAAATTTAATGGTTCTTTTGCTGCCAATTTGGCGCTCTGAGGAGTCGTTAGGCCCCGAGATCTCTTGAATATTGTAGAAGTCATTGCTCTACTTCAATAAAAAGATACTTTTCTCTCGCAAGGGGCATGGAGCAGAACCGGGAACTGTTGATGTAAATGATGATATTGACAGTTTGTGGACGATGGGATCGCCATTATGGTTTGAAAAGCAGAGGCGAAATGAAATTTTGGCTTTTTAAAGCTGGGAGCAAATGAAAATTCGGAATTGGTGCATTTGTTTGTCGGGCTTTAGTAAAGCCCGGTGAAGGCGGATGGTTAACATTGCGCCTGAGGCACGGAATCTGCGAATGGTTTTATTAACTGAGGTTGCATTACGGAAATGACAATGCAATTTCTTACTAGAGATCTCTCGCTACATAGTAATGCCGTCTCAGCGGCAGGCTCTGCTTTTATGAACATATCGACTCGACGACAGTATGTCCGCGAAACCCGGGCGAGGGAGTTTGGTTTTCTGTTATGTTCGGGAAGTAGAAAAGTCCGAGCTTGGCAGGTGACGTTTAAGGGTCCTTTCGGTGGGGTGCATTAAAATGCCCGAGACGGCTCCCCCACCTCCCGAGAGCTGCGTCACGGCACGTACCTCCATCTCTGTCTGCCTTTGCAGTCCCTGACAGATTGGACATGTCAACAGCTATACCGATGGCAGAGCAGAGCTCCTCCGCCGTCTCCTCTCCTCCGTCGACCGCGTCCTCGCGAGCCGCTGCGAAGCCGCAGCGGGTGCTTGCGTGCATGCTGTGTCAGCAGCGCAAGGTCAAGTGTGACCGCAAATTCCCCTGCGCCAATTGCGTAAGGGCCCATGCGCAGTGCATGCCTGAAATGAGAGGCCCGCGCCAGCGTCGTCGCAGATTTCCGGAGCGAGAGCTTTTGGAGCGGCTTCGACGCTACGAGAGCCTGCTCCGTCAGAACAACATAGATTTTGAGCCTCTGCACCCGCCTGCGGCGGAGAAAGGTTCTCCTTGCGAGAACGGCAGAGGCTCTGACTCTCTCGGTGGTGCGCATCCAGGAGAACCTGGCTCGGGCGCGGATCGGCCTTCAATAGAGAAGACGAATATCAAGCCTGAAACAGTATACGAGGCCAAGTTACGCTTTCCTTATGAGCACGTATCTCTAGGTGACTAATCCTCTCCTAGGAATTTCTGGCACCTTATGGATCAAATGGTACGATTAATTTTTCGAGTGAATGCTTTCTCCACTAACAATTGAGGAAAGTCCCTCTATTCCGACGAAGACGATGATGACGACGTCGATGACAGCAACGTCAACAACAACAACAACCACCACCACAAGGGCGGCGTCAACGGCAACGGCAACGGCAACGATGATGAAAACGACAGCAGTCTCCCACGCGATGATGTTTGCGAATCTGTGATCAAGAAGGCGTTGAATCAGGCATACGACAGCAACGACCACATTCTGTTTGGTCCACGCAAGATAAATGTTAATCTCTCCTTCTTGCACCCGGAACAGGTCCAAATCTTCAGGCTTTGGCAGATTTATTTGGAAAATATCAATCCGCTGCTCAAAGTTACGCACACCCCTACCCTGCAAGCCCGCATTATCGACGCCGCCAGCGATGTGGCAAACATAAGTCCTACATTCGAAGCGCTTATGTTTAGTATATATTGCGTCTCTGTTCTAAGTCTCTTCGAAAACGAATGCCGTACTTTGTTTGGATCGCCAAGGGAAGACCTTCTAGCGAGCTATCGGTTTGGATGTCAGCAAGCTCTACTCAACTGTGAAGCTTTGCGGTCCGATGACCACGAATGTCTGACGGCATTGTATCTCTACCTAGTAAGCCAGTCGGGTTGCCATCTTGCATATTTTACTCTAACGCTTCTAGATCTCGGTCAGGCTCGATGCGGACCCACGGTCTCTTTCTTCAATGCTTGGCGTTGCCATTCGCATTGCACAACGCATGGGTATTCATAACGAGTCAAACTATGCTAGATGCAGTGCTCTCGAGGCTGAGATGCGCCGCAGACTTTGGTGGTCTCTAGTCAATTTTGACAATCGCATTTGCGAGATATCTGATCACAAGTCCTCGATGTTGGCTCCTACCTGGGACTGCAGGACTCCTCTCAATGTGAATGAATTTGACATCCGGCCAGAGATGAGGACCCTTCCAGCTGTTCACGAGCAACCCACGGATGCTCTTTTTGCCGTCGTGTGCAGCGAATTGGGTGATTGTATCCGCCACCGCGCCTTCCATCTCGACTTTACCAATCCATCTTTGAAAGGAGTTGCTAAGGATACTCGACACGGCGCTGGTATAGAAGGAGGCGAGCTCATCGCCCTCGAGAAAGCCATGGAGGACAAATACCTTAGATTTTGCAATTCGGAGAATCCGCTTCATTATATGACAATCTGGTTCACGCGCGGTTATCTTGCGAAAAGCCGTCTCCTGGAACACTACTCCAGATACCCGTTAGCGCAGCAGACGGGCATGACCGACAGGCAGCGCGACGCTGCCACCTCCTACGCCCTATGCATGCTCGAGTGTGATACCAAGCTTATGACTTCCCCTCTTACGAAAGGATACCTTTGGCTTGTTCAGTTTCACTTTCCATTTCCTGCATACCTCCACATTGCTCAAGACCTAAAAAAGAGGCCTCTTGAGGAGTATGTTGAGAAGACTTGGAAGGTCATGAGCGACAACTACGAGGCTCGCTTCTTGAGCATCAAACAAATGAACCCTTTTTTAAAATTTCTTTCCAAAATTATCCTTCAGGCGTGGGAGGCGTGTGAAGCAGCATTTCAAAGATTAGGAAAACCACTGGAGCTTCCACGGATTGTGCCAGACATCAGATCCAAAATGATGCAAATGACCTCGAATGCACAAAACAACAAAATAGACCGGCCTAGCGGTGCCCTGGACATGAGCATTGACGATTTTTCAATGCCCATACCAATGGAATTTCGTGGCTTTGGCACGCCATACGGCATGGAAGGGCAGGATTTCGCGGGTTTGGCGCCTGAGATTTACCCGGACATACATAGACACACCTCAATGGACGTCGACATGAATCATTTAGATGGGACCACGACTGACTGGTATTTGATGCATGCCTGAGGCTGGTGAGGCTGCTATGTCAACTGAGCCACAGCTGCCTCACTAGCCGTGCTAGACATTACTCTAGACTGGCTGTTCTTGGCAGTAATTCAGGCTCTGGGCAGCAACGAATCATCCACATTTGGCTATCGCAACTCTCTCGAACATAATCAGATCATGGTCCGAATTGCTCAAGCCTCAATATTGACAATGGGCCTCTTGAGCTTCAGGAAGCTCTATCCGCTTTGCTGAATTAAGTGGCTGCGTTCAACATGGGTCAGTTCAAACCGGCTGAAGATCTCCCAGGCTCGTTAAAGGAAGTTTCTACTTTTAGGATTCCAGCTGGATATGAGCTTCATTGTTAATGTCGAAGCCTTTTCAACTTTGCTAGTGCAAAAAGCCTCAATGGCTCACGGGGCGCTCCTTTAATATCTCTGGACGTTCGGGAATCACACAAGTTCGTTGGGGACAGCCTATAAGCCGCAAAGGGTAGCACAACCTCTCCTCGAGAGATATGACATGTTCCTTATGCGAATGTAAGCTGCTAGTAAGGAAATCATTCCGCCATTGAAATTCATCAGCTGGAAAACCGCTACCTGCAACGACTCTCGAAAATCGGCAGCGTGGCTGAGCGGGAAGTTGCTCGGCCCTTTGAGAATGCTTCGAAAAGCTTCACGGCCCGTCGGAGCCTATGCTTCTAGGATTCTGAAGGTTGGACGTAACTGCTGCAGTGTTGCTAGAGCCTCCGACAGATACCCTAACTCTCCACTAAGTCCAACATGGCCGACTTGATGGCGGTGGACATGGTCACTCAACGATATGACTCTTGCTGCTCTTACGCAGGCACAATGGACGCTATTCTGTTTGATGCGAGTCGAGTCACGGGAGGATTGGAGAGTATAGTATAGAGTATTATTTACTCTATAATGGTGTTTTCTTATTGCTTCTCTGTTCTGTTTTTCTGCTCTGACATCTTTTCCAACTAACATTTGTATATATGATATATGTAGTACGACTTATACAATATAAAATTCAATTATCTTGAAAATATATAAATATTTTAATCACTGTTTTTTAATGTATATTTTATTATATTATTATATCTTATAGAGCTAATTATATGTTACATTTATTCTATACATTATTGTATTTTACAAGCAAGCTAACTAGAAAATTTTTTTGTATATAGTAATATAATTTTTACATATAGCTTAACAAGTTGAACGGGCAATTCCTGGGCGCTGGGCACTGACCACTGGGAGCTTCTAGTCTGGCAATCAGGTGGTCCCTATTGAGAGATTAGTCTGAAAAGTTAGTCTGGACTCTTAGCATTCTCCACAGCCTTGCTGGAGAAGCTTGTTTTCATAGCATAGTAGTCATAGCATAGTGATGTTGAAAGAATTAAAATTCCAGGACCTTTTTGACTCCTTATATAATTGAGCTGCATGCAAGAGTTTTGTTACCTATGCAAGAGTCAATTAATTGATGCAAGGCTGTCTCTTTGTTTCACACTATATTTCACAAGGGAGATAGACTTTGAACTATTTTGTATATTAAAGGTATAGGGTTATTAGTATACATATTGATATACATATTGGTATATGTATTAATATATATATTGATATATATATTGATATACATACATATAGTATAGATAGTATAGATAGTATAAAAATTAAAATTTAGTCTGTTGAAGTTTTGCTTCTTTTTCCTTTTTTCTCTAAATTTAATTAATATAAAGATGATTTTTACAATAAACCTATATATTTTATATTGAAAATATATTAACTACAAAGTATATAGCATGAAAATTGAGCCAGATAAATTAAAATATAGATTTTTAACTACAATTTTTAACTACAATACTAAAAGCTTTAATTGTAATTTAGTGAGTTTCATTCTTTAACTCTGGAAAGATGGTAGACTACTACCTGTATCAAACTTCAAGAGTTTTAAATTTTGGGTTTCTACATTCAAGGAAGAGAAGAAAGGAAAATAGCTACAAGAGACTATTTTATAATATAATGTATACATCTAGATTTATTTTTATAATTTATACCTTGTAGCAAGCAATAGAACCCTTGTATATAAATAGTAATGCCTTGCAAAAAGGTATATATTATTAACTAATTAGGCAATGTCTACTTCTAGCATGGTTCAAACTATTTTTTATTATTGTTAATTATATAAAAAATCAAAATAGTTTAAAATTTTTTAATTTTTTAATATTACTAGATTATAAAATAAAATACTATATTATAAATAATTATACTATAAAAATAATCTCTAGAGTAAGTAATATAAAATTAATATTAATTTTTTAAATTAATTTTTTAATAAAAACTATTTAATTACTTTAAAGAAATTAAAGTATCAAGTATCTAAAAATAATATTAGATTTTTTAATTCTAATTAATTTTATATATAAGTACATTTATAAGTAAAAATTATAAAAAACTTAAATAAAATACTTTTTATTCAAGAAATAAATTATTAAATTTAATTCATATAAATTGTTATACTTTATCTATTTTCTTTATTTTTGCTTAATTATTTATTATTGTATAAGGTCTTGTTACTCTGTAGTAGCTTTAGTTTTTATTCTATTATTTATTTATATTATATCTATAATTTTATAGTTAATAGTAATACTTTTTTCTTAACTAAAACCTTTATACTTAGTTAAATTTTTTAATTAAATTCAAGAAAATTTAATTAAATCTAAACCTGTAAATTAAGTTTTATAGTTAGTAAATTGAATTCTATAATTAAACTTTTTAATTTATTCAATTAATCATTTAAACTTTATTAATATTTATTCTGCTTCTTGTTATAGTAATATCTACAGATAGGCATTGAGCAATATTTTTCTAAATAAATTTTTATTAATATCTCAAGAAATTTTTATCTATTAATATAACTTTCTATAATATTATTTAGTGATAGAAATACTTGGTAAAATAATAATTTAGGCTAGATAATATAAGTAAATAAATACAATTATTATCAAACTAATATTTAAATATTAAAAATCAAATAATTAAATAATAAGTATTAAATAATTAATATCTCGAACTATATAAAATAAATCTAATTATATGAATTTTTTTTATATAAACAATTTATTCTAATAGTTTTATTCATTAATTAGTACTAATTAGCTATAATCTGTCTTAATTACTATTAATTATTACTAATTTACTTATTTTACTATTAGCCTCTATTTTTATTTATTTTATTATCATGTAACTCTAGTTTTATGATATTTTTAGGTTTGCTATGTTTTTATACTTTGTACTTCTTGTTTCTACTATCTTTATAACTATTATTATATTAAATTTCCTCTTTTACTCTTTTAATTTAAAAAACTATTTTAGTAGCCTTGGTTTTATATAAATTACTTGTTTTTATAAGTTTTTTTTAACTTTTATTATGTCAAAAACTAAATCTTTTTTTAAATTTTATTACTTTTTTGCTTTAAAAACAAGTTATTTATATTATAAAATACTAATTTTTTGTTTTATCTATTATTATAATAATTATTATTATCTAGTTTTTTTAGATTTTAATTATTATTTTGAGTATATTTTATATAATGCTTCTTGTAATTTTATTGTTTTTACTTATAAATAGAATTATTTATAAAAAAAGTATTACAAGTTAAAATTTTAACTTGAATTTATAAAAAAACAAACTTTCAAACTTGCTACTTATTATTTATACCTTTATAAATAATTAAATAAATTCTTTTCTTGTAAAAAAAATTGTTTAATCAAAAGCTAGCTTTCATTAAGAAAGTTAAGCAGCTAGAGTAATTTTTTAATCTTTTTATTTTTTCTAAACTTTTTATTAATTTTTTTTCATTAACGAGTTTTTTTGAATCTCTTGATTTCTTTTGTTTTAAGTACTATTAATAATATTTAGTAATTTTTTTAAGGCAATTTAAATTAGTTTGTAGTTTTTATAAATTTATTTTTTTATTATAGTTAAGTTATTTAATATAATATTTTTATTGCTAACTTTTTTTTTATATTTAAAACCTCTTTAATATTGTATTTTTGATCGTTAAATACAATGTCCAGTTTTTTTACAAGTAGTATATTTTTTAGTACTAGTTTTAATAATAAAATATAGAATGTTAGATATATTTTTATTTTTTTTAATAATATATTCTTGTATTTTCTAGTTTTAAAACTTAATTTTGCTTTGTAAAGATTTATATAATTTTTTAATTTTTTAATTATATTATAGTTTTTCTAGTAATGTTTCTTGAATATTAATAGTTTTTTCTTATATTACTACTTACATACAGATAGTATAAATTTTTAAATTATTTTAAAATATTAAAAATAGTATTAATTTATAATTAATAGATATAAATTAATTTTAATTATTTTAATTATATATATATAATTAGTTATTTATATTTACATTAAATAATTGAAAATTTTAAAAACTTTATAATAATATTAAATTTTATTAAATGTTATAAAATAATTTTAAAATAATTTAAAAATTTAAAACTTTTTAAAAATAATTTTTAATTAATTTAAAATAGTATAAAATTATTTTAAAAATAAAAAAATAAAAATAAAAAAACATATAAAAAAATAAAAAAATTTTAAATTAAAAAATATATTATTTAAAAAGCTACTTTTTGATTAGAAAATATAAAAACAAAAAAAATTTATAAAAAAAATAAAAAATTTTTTATTTTAAATTTATTTATATAATATAAAATATTAAGTGTTTTAAATAAAAAATAATTTTAAATAAATTAAAAATTTATACTATCTGTATATAAGTACTAAAAGATTACTACAAAGATTATTATTACAAAAATTACTACAATTGAGCTTTACTACTATAGTATCATTTTTTTACACTAGTATTTTTTAATTTATCTTGTAAAAAAATATTTCTTAAATTTACTAGCAATCTCTTGTACTAATAGTTTACTATAAAGATTATCTCAATATAATAATACTTAAAAAAGTTTGAAAATGAATTAAAAAAATCAAGAAAGCTATAAAAGTAATAAAAAATATAAATACTGATTTATTTAAATACAAGGTAAAAAAGCAATACTATTGTTTTGAACAAGGTATAGATGGAGATAAAAATTATAGATAGAAGTATTTAAAAAATAAAAACCTTGTATACTATATTATCTACTAGTTAGTGTATACATATTATATATTTATTTATATGAGAGCAAAGGATTATAATTGTCTAAAAATGAAATGATTTATATCATTTAATATCTTGATTATTATCTATAATTCATATAATTATAGCTGTAATAAATAATTTTATATTTGTCAATTTATAATTTAATTACTTAATTAATATAAT